ATTGTAGGAGTGTCTGTCAAAGCCTCTAAGAATTCCCGGGAGTTATGATGCTTCATCTCTTCTCCTGACACTGTACTCCTATGTCCTGCCTCTCTCCTGCAGGCCTGTCTCATGTTGCCTGAATTTGATGCCATCCCATTTCTTCAGTGTATCTTCAGATATTTGCAGTGTGACTCTGAGCATGCCCTATCTCAGTCTGTTCTTGAAGCATCAACTATTTCAAGCCTGTTGGAGTAAAGCTACAGGACCCCAGATCCTGCGTGATCTGCAGTGATGTTTTTTAGCATTTTTTTATATATATGTAAAAAAAATGTATGATTCAAAACCTGATTTCTGGTCTAACTTGAACGGGGTTTGTTTTTGTTTCTTTTTTTTTTTTTACCCAGAAGCCTCCAATTAAGTATTTTTAATGGAAATATGAATTTGGTTTAGTGATTTTGTTTAAGAATTCAAGACCTCCTGTTTTCCCAGAAGTAGTGTTTAAAAAGTGAAGTGTAAGCATGAGATGTTTGTTTCAAAAGTTTAGCAAGCTGTAGTAAAATGTGCCAAGTCTGTATAGCTCCCAGATGGTCAGTAGCACATCTGAAGAGAGCAGGTTTAGTACTTTTGGGGAGCTATGAGATTTCATATGCTGTTAAATAAAAATTGGCAGGATCCATCAAGTCTTCCACACTGAAGCCATCCCGGATGTATCGAGTTCTCAATAATTTATTCCTTTTGATGGCATTGCAATAAAAAAGAGAAAATGATAATTAAGTTCTGGTTATAATTGTATAATTTTTTTGTAGTGAGGTGTACTATTTTACCAAAATCACTGTGAGTAGATAAAACTAAGTATACTGTATCTCTATACTTACATGAATAGTAATTTAATACTTCAAAATATGATAGTCTTTTTTTAAAAAATGCTTCATATTACTGGAGTTTAGATGCTCAGTTACAATGTATGTACAGATTGGGGTTTTACTTTTGCTGGAAATACTAATTTGATATTCTATAAAATCAAGATTTACTCAATATTCTTCAACTTCTTTACTACTACATTAGATAAGTTTTTATAGTAATCCCAGACATCTAAAAATTAATGGGTCTATTTGTTGTAAGATTATATTTTGCCTAAATTGTTTTCAAGAGATAATATTTCATCTTAAATCATGTATCACTGAGGGCTGATGCCTTAGTATCATATAATCCTAAGGAACCCTAGGAGATTTTCTCAACTCCTGCTTAAAGCAAGGTCAGCTAAAACAAGTTGCTCAGGACGTTGACCAGTTGGGGTTTGGGTATCTCCAACAATGGAGATATGTTTAAACAGAATTTCCTGCGCTTCAATTTGTGCCTCTTGCTTCTTGTCCTGTCACTGGGCATGACTGAGAAGAGTCTAGTTCCATCTTCTTTACTCTCTGTCACCCTTCCAAATTGGGTATTTTTACACTTTGATAAGATCCCTATTGAGCCTTCCCTTCTCCAGGATGCCTAGTCCCATCTCTCTCAGCCTCTCATTATGTGACAGATGCCCCAAGCCCTTAATCATCTTTGTGGCCAATTGCTGGACTCACTCCTGTATGTCCATGTCTCTGTCATACTGAGCAGCCCAGAACTGGACCCAGCAGTCCAGATGTGGTATCACCAGAGCTGAGGTAGATCACCTCTCTCTCTGCTGGTGATGATAAGGCAACCCAGGATGCTGTTGGGCTTCTTTGCCACAAGGGTACATTGTTGACTCATACTCAACGTCTTGTCCCACAGGAACCCCAGGTCTTTTATCTGCAAAGCTACTTTCCAGTCAGTAGGACCCCAGCCAACTGATGCTTGGGATTAATCTCCACTTTGATAAATACTAAAGGTTTGAAGAAGATTTGTAGCATCACTGGTGGATGGACCTGTGATTTTTGAGTCTCGTTCTTGTTTCTGAGATATTATTTTTGAAACAGATTATTTTAATTTTTGAAGTGCTAGGTTTCATATCCCGTTTTCTGAAGGGACCTAAGATTGAAATGCATGTTACCATGCATCGGCTGTGCCGTAGCTTGTGTTCTGAACACGTGTGCTCTTGTTCTGTATCAGGCATATGGGAAGAAGTTCAGGCAGACCTCAGTGGAATAGCATTAAGCTAAAATTCGTTACTTCACTTTCGCCAGCCATGATATGGCAGTTCTTACAGCTCAGCTAATGCATACAAGCTAGTCACTCAACTGTATGTGAGCTTATTCACTTGCTAAGAAAAAAAATGGGAATAGCAAATAGAATGCTCATTAAAGTTGTGTTAGTTAAACACAAAGCAGATGTTATATTTATATTGAAGTTTTCCTTTTCAAAATTAGTTATCCCTCCTTATAATGGTAAAGGTCCCATACAGTTCAGCTCAAAAAAGGCACTGAGAGACAGTAAAATTATCTAATTTGTAATTATTTATTTTTAGGACACTACCGCAGTGTTGGCTCACTTCTTGTTTCGGCCAGGGTTTATGGTTTTGATAAAACATTTGCTGGAACATTGACTTTACAACTGTATCTTATATCCCCAGACAACTTTTTTAGTAAGGCATTTGATATTTAATATAGTATATAATCTTTTCCTTCAAAAGAATGAGGTAGAAAATTCTTTAATTAATGGACTATATAGAAAGGAATTTTTTCTTAAATTTGCATTACTAGAGCAAACAACATGGCTCAGTTTCTCTTAATAAGAACAGTGTCCTTAATTTTTCCTGGAACAACAATGGAAACACCTTTTTTCCTCACAATTTAAAAGAACAGAACAGTCATGTTTTATCAGACTTCCTTCTTAAGGAAATATATGCACTAAAAAGATCAATATTTCAAAGCCACCTGGGTGTCTGGTAGTCAGCAGTCAGTCTTTTTGAGCAGGTGGTTCAGCATGTACCTGCAGACAAATGTTCCTTCTCCATCCCTCTTCCATTGTATTCTCAGTCCTGGGAAGTGATTCCAGCATTCTGTCATCACTTCTCTTGGATCATGCTTTCTGAGGCTCACAAGCAGAGTTGAGTAACTTACTGTTCATACACAGTATGCATGTAGCACAGCATTTCTGTGAGTGGACAACCTCTTTTCCCTTGCCCATCTTTATTCTGTGGGGAAACTGTTGACAACTCGTCAGCAAAACCCAACAGAATTTGGAGGAATATTTGCTTATATTTGGCACTCCCTTCAGAGGTAGCATGTTCTTGCTAGGAGTTTTTATCCCATTCAGATTGACACTTTGAGCGATAATATGTCCCCTCTGTAGAAGCAGAATGAAGATTCCTGAAATGCAGCTTTAATCTTATAACTTTTTATTTGCAGAATGCCAGTGTGGTTCCTTCCTTTCTGGTTACTGATGTCATTTCTGTATTTGCTCTGTTTTTCAAAATCATCTTTTTCTAAACTCTAAACTCACAATATTGTGCCTTGCTGTGTGGCCAGGACACCACCTAACTGAGCTGAGGACTTCCCTTACTCATGTAGGTTTTATTATGCTATGTTTGTGCTAGGTCTTGAATAAAACTATAATCTTCTACTCAAAAAGTAGTTCTTGCTAACTAAATGACACCTTAAGGCTGCTACTGACATACATAGAAAATGTAGTGATATTTCCTTTAGTGTGAACACCTGCCCGTGGGGAATGAACTGAGAAGACAAATGCACAGCTGGTGGCTAAACTTTGGGGAAATGTGAAAATTTATTGAAACGTCCTTTGCTTAGCACTCAAACATTATACTTATCAGTGTCATTTACAAACTAATAATACCTGAATCATAAGAGTGAGAATTTGACTTCAGTTGCACTACTTTTCAAATCTATTCTTGTATTCCCAATTGGTTCAGGACTTTCTGAAGTTTTCATGTGACTGCTCTGGAAAACCTGCAGGCGTAATACAAGCCAGAGGACTGAAAAAAGGGGAAGGGAAAAGGAAGCAAGAATGAGGAGCAGGGGAAGATAAAAACTGTTTCCATATACAGTGTGTGTGAAAATTACTGTAGTTTTACCTGTGCTGTATTAAAAGATACACTGTGTGTATCTATCGAGTAACTTTTCATACCTTCGCAGTGAAGTTAATATAAATGTAGGAGTTCCAACACAGTTACGTAACAAAGGTGGCTTTTGAAACAGATTGAGAGAACTTGTGGCACCCCACAGACTTGTTCATGTTAGTCTGAGGCCACCTTTAGTGCTGAAAGACTGAACCCCTGTAACTGTCTTATTATGCTGTTACAGTTCTTCAGTATGGTTCAAAACCCTAGTATACAGTTGTCCAAGTTTTACCTCTTTGTTCAAGACAAAGACCTGCTTTTTATTGGTTTTGGTCAACTCTTCTGCTTTGTTCTGGTTTCCTAGGGAAGGGCAACATATTATGAAGCTGCTGTACACCTTCCCAAAGAGGAGTGATTTCAGTATAGCTGTTTACTTTCAACTTCCTTCTTATATACCAAAGTTACTCAGATGTCTTTAGTATCATACAGTACAGAAATGCAGGAGGGCAACTCCTATGTTTCAGCCTTTTTAGACTGAGAATAAATTTTAAATTATATGATGGTAGCAAGGCATGTTGGGTTCACATTATATTTTTTTATGCCTGACTAAGGATTATTTTGACAATGAGAGGAATTGGACTCAGTTCAAGATTCCTAGTTTTAAGTCATTGCTTTGCCAGAGGTTTCCTATGTTGACTTGTAAATTCAGTTGAGGCCAGTTGTACAGTAGTACTTAGCATCCATTTGATCAGAACAATTAGCCAGTTCCTGAAAACCATTCAGCATGTGGTCTAGTGGAGGGTGTCCCTGCCCGCAACAGGAGGTTGGAACTAGATGATCTTTGAGGTCCCTTCCAACCCAAACCATTCTATGAGTCTGTGATTCTATGTCTTACAGGGAAGTGGTCAGAAAAATCCTTAATGCTAATGAGATGCCACGGCACTTTTTTTAGGACCCTGTCAGGATATAAATAGAAATATCTAATACCTTTAAATATAGTGAGACTGTAATATTGTTTTAACTGCAGGTACCGAGAGGCTATTCACAAGTGGGATGAAGCACTTCAATTAACTCCAGAAGATGCTACGCTTTATGAGATGAAATCACAGGTAAACCATGGCAATTCTTTATTAGTTTAGAAATTAAAAAAGAGAACATTGTGCTTGTGAACAGATACTATGCAACATTGTGTAGTTGTTGTGCGCGTGAACTACAGCACAATTCAGGGTTTTTTGGTTTTCCCAACACAACAGGGCATCTTTTAACACGAAGTAAAATAATGCTGTTATCCAAGCCAATCACAATAAACAACATCGTTGTTAGGACATGAATTAGGATGTTACAATGTGGAAAAAGCAACTGAAATATTTAAAAATTTTATTGGGAGGAGCAAGGAAAGCCTTACTGTGATAGATGAACAGATTTGACCATTAAAAATCTGCCAGCTTTTTCTGAAGAGTTGGCTTAATATTATCAATATTAAATAGGGATACGGTATGCAAAAGATATGCTCCAGTCTGTTTTCATATTAAGTATTACATAGATAAATCAGCCTTGGAAAAGAGCATTAAACAGAGTATACTTACGATGTCAATCCATCTGAGCCTTTATTTTAAAGCTGTTTTGAGGAAAAGGCTTGCAGCCGTCAATGCCTCACTAAAGTTAGGAGATGTGCTTGCAGTTTCAGTGTGTCTTTGTGTGGCTTAGATGGCAAAAGTGCCAGGATCCATTATTTTTTTTGGATTGGGAATCTTTTGTCTCCATCTGTATGCAATGGTACAAAAATATTTATTTTTTTCTGTTTTAAATAAAAATGCTCCTCTGCAAAAATTATTTTAATTTAGATTGAGGATGAGAACAAGAAATGTATGGCTTCTTTCAACCAGTTGACCAGATTAGAATGGGAAAAATTATTTTTAGGAAGGTAGCTACTTAAAATATGGCTGAAACATACATAGTTTAGATTTAGAAGATTTTTTGAAAGAGAAAAATCATGGTAGTTTAGTGAATGTGTTACATAACTTTTAGGAAGCTTGTGTATTGTTTAGTTTTAAAATATTTGTTACTGTAATTCTTTTTTTGTATAAAAACCAAAACAACACCCCCCAAAAAAACCCCCAAACAACCCAAGCCAAAAACCCAACCCCCCAAAAACCCGTAACAAAACACAAGAAGCAAAGCTGGCTGTTTTCCAACTGCTCTTGGTGACTGCCCTTTTTTCCCCCTGGGATGCTATCACATCTCCTCCTCACAGTCATGTTGTCTGTGAAGTGAAGAAAGTTTGGTTCTGCAAAAGAATTAATTAAATAATCATAAGCTTATTTCAATACAGTAATGCTGAAGGAGGCTTTCATTTTATACAGCTGCAGAATGTTTACATTTTACTTGGTTTTGCATTTGGTTTGAGAAATACTTTATGGCTTTAAAGTTTTTTCTTCCTGAATTATTTTGGGAGAAGTGTGTTGCTGGATTGTTTTGTTAATGTGTTATATGTATACAAGGGATCCAGATAGACTGTTAGGAAGAACCGGGGAAGGGTGTGTATGAAGGGTTGATTTCTGACTTGGTTCATTAATTTGAATGGTGTTGGTCATAAGATGCAGTAGTTGGGTTTACTTTAAATTTTTATAGTGCAGTTCTCTTATTCTACGCCCTACATGTTGCTGAAAAGAGGGCATTTGTTCTCTCCACTTTTTCACCAGGCTAGATTTGTAGTCAATTATTTCTTCCTAACTGCTAAAACAGGAGGCATATATCTGTTTAGAAAAAAAAAAGTTAAAATATCTTCATGCATATTGTTCAAACCTTGTGGAAATTCTTTGGTGATACTTCCTCTTAACTTGGGCACGCTTAGGATCAGATCTGTATGTTATTTAGTTAGCATATTAATATTTACAGGTCTCCTGTATGATTTAGGTGCTTGACTCCTACGTACTTAGAGAGTTCTGTGGTAACAAAACATCTTAAACATGTAAACCTCCATTGAATATTTACTTGTATTTGGATGCCTTTACCTCAACGCTAGCTTCAGTGAAAGATCTGTCTAGCCTAGTATCCTGACAACTTCCAACAATGAGTGTCTGGGAAAGCGTCATACAAATGGTGCAAGCATGTAGCAGTGCTTCCCCCACGATCCTTTCCCCAGCCTCCAGCAAGCTTTGTCTCTGGCACTTCTCTGTCTTTAGAAGTGCTTGAAAGATTTTTCTTCAACAATGTGTCTCATGGCTTTCTGCTCTCATGTAAACTTCTAGAATCTGCAAAGCTATGTGCCAAGGAGTTCCAAATCTTAATTATGCACTATTGGGAGAGACAGAATAATATTATTCTGCGTTAATTAGCAGCTTTCCAGGTTGCTGTAAAGGTTACTAACTTATATAGCTGTTCATTTGTACATTTAATTTTTAACTCCACTAGTCAAGAAATTTTGCTAAGGTGTGAAAATGGTATTGGTCCTATAATTTTTTTTTTACTATAGTTCAAAGATTTAACTGTTTTGCATAAAACAGACCACCTAGTAGGATTTGTTCTAGGTTGGAAAGAAATGGTTCATGTGCTCTGACACTGGCTTCTTAACACAGCGTGTTTTTTGAAGTAGCCTTTATTTTGCAATTTGAATTTTTTTTTTTTTTTTTTTTTGACTTAAAGTCAAGGGAAAGGTGTTGAAAAGGACAGTTATGCCCAGTGGGACAAATTAGTGAATAGCTCTCTTGTAACAGTTCTTTATTATGGTCTTATGCAAATGCAGAAATTAAGCTAGCTCTTCAAAATTACTCTATTTAATTGAAATTATACTAAAATGAAATATTTTCACAGTGGAAATAACAGGAGAACAGGGAATTATGTTAGCTTACCAGGATCTGAACTATGATGCAGTGACTTATGTAAATGGATACTTACTATGACATCCTTCAATCGGTGCTCCAGCTGCAGGACCTCATACTGAGGGGCGGTTGCTTACTCGGCACCCCAGTCCCTGCATTTCAGCGAAATGTCAAAGGTGAGTTGGAGGAGTAAGGCA